GCCTGCGTGAACAGTTACCCCACTGCTCAGGTTGCTCTATTTTTATTGATTTGCCAAACATACTTTCCTGCTCCCAAGTTTCTCACCATGCAGTACGCACATTATTCCCCCTCCTGCCCTTTGAAGATGCAGAAGAGTTGCTGTTGAAGCCAACAATAGCGAAGTCTCTGCATCATTGGCAGGATGTCGCTGTGAAGGTTACAGAATTGACTTCTCAGTGACTAAACCTAAAGCTGAGACTACAGAAGAGCTGACCTTGGAAAATTTATCTCATCCTGTTTGGAGTCACACAGAATCATTTGCCAAATCTCTTAATATAAAATATTTCACGTCACGAATTGACAGAGTTCCTTTCTTACCCTTCCTTCCGTCCACACCAAATCCGATAAGTGACTGCTCTCTTCTCGACAGGAGAAGGCTCAGAGGATGAAGATCCGTTCACTTTACGTGCTAAGGACAGAAATCCCAGGGTTTTTTTACTGTTGAAACAGGAAACACTGTCAGATCCTTCTGGAGAATTCTATTGTTACATTAGCAGATACAACCTCTGCCCAAGGTGAAAATGGCAGAGGGCATCTCTCTGGCACATGTAGTTCAAAGAAACTGGAGATGAAGAATACAAAGGAAATCACAGCTCTCCATGGCCTACTGCAGCACTGCCTCGCTTGATCTTTTTTTTTTTTTTGTCCAGTTTCTGGGTTTTTTCAGTTTGATTTTTGGGTGTCACAGAGGCAGATACAATATTGGACTTACTTTCCATTCCTTGTCAGAACATTTTTTTGTTCTAATTCAGCATCAGACTTTTCAACTCACAAGAACCTAGATTTTTCTTCATTGCTATGAGAACGGCACGGCAGTCAGCGTTCCCAACCTGCCTCTGGCAAGCAGGGCCCAGCTCCGAACCCGCCAGACAGATCTGTATCTGGCCTTCCAACCCCTCCAGCCCCCTCAGCCGCCATTCCGTCCTACAGCTTCTCGCAGCACACCTAAGCCAACCCCACGTCTCGTTTGCACAACCCGCTCCGCCGCTGCCAGGCATGCTGTTCTCTATCAGCAGCCACGTGCGATTTAGCGGCTGGAGGCGCGCCCCCCTCTAATACACGGTATGGGCACAGCGTGCTGCGGGCGAGCAACTGGCTACACCAGTTCTAATCCACAGCTCACCACCCCCACTCCCCCCTTCCTTGGTCTCTGTTTTATTTCTTTACACGTTTTTGCTGATCCAGAGTCAAATGCGGAGGGACAGCCCTCCGGGCAGCACAGGGGAGCTCAGCAAACCGCCACTGTACGCTCCACACCGCTTTATCTTACATTTCGCATTTTGGACGACACAGAACTTCCAGTTCCCATTTTGATAACCAGTTTGTTCTGTAACTAGGAGACCCGCCCTTTCTTTGTAAATGTTACAAATCAGGCATATCTGATCCATTATTCACTAACTGCTGCTGCTTCCCACTTCCATCTCCCATTAGGAGGTAGCGCTCATGCCAGAAATGTCACGGCGGTGTCATGTGACAGGTGGTATTGATTTAGCTAAGTCGGGTTTTAATGTCACTCTTGTTCAGTGGGAACACACGGCGAGCGCACACCAAGCCTCAGCAAGGCGGCAGATCAGGACAAGAGCTACCAGCCAGCCCCGCGCTGGGCTGTAGGATTCTGGAATGGCATCAGCACCAAGAAATCTGATTATTATTTTCTGCTCCTATCTGCTATATTATCATGGTTAACATTATTTTTTTTTCATGCTCGTAACTATTAGTCATAAGACTTTGATTCTGAGGTATCTCCATCAGGTTTACAGCAGAGACAATGAGAACGGAGGTGCCTTGCCCGGTATCAGACAGCGGACAGCCAGGAGCGGAACCCTGGTCTGTCCACTCCATCGTTTTCACCCTTTCACAAGATACTCCCTTTTGGCAGAATAGCTGCCAGTTTTGGAAAGCCGTTCCCAGCCTATAAAGTCTGATAGACAGAGGCTTTGCAAAGTAAAGCCCGGGGAACACACGCCCCAAACAAGCTGAGATTACCCAGCCACAGGGGCCATCGTACACAGCGTTCTGCTCCTGCCACTCATCTGTCCCTACTGACAGCCCACCTACTGTAAAAATCCTTCCAAAACATCAAATCTAGCTGTGATTGAGGACACGGCTTAAACATTGAGTATTATAATACAAGGAGTCTCTGTCACCAAGGATGTTTGCCAGAAAAGCTCAGACTGACCCATAGTTACTGTTGCTGCCAGGCTCAGAAATGGTGCGTTCACCGGCCTGACGTGACCCAAGTCTCTGAAAGATTATTTTTTATTTTATTTTTTACTTGCTGTCTGAAAGTAGGTAGTCTGCCAAGAAGCCAACCAAGGCCCAGCCCTGTGCCTGATAAACATCTCTCCATCTGGATTTCCCAAGCTTTTGGGAAAGTTAAGCAATTCTCACTTCACAATGTTTGCAACTCTCACAGAAAGCTATTTCTATATATAACATTACTCTGCAGAGAGAAGCACATCTGAGCCCCACGCTGTGAAATGGAGCTGAGGGCTGAAGTAGCAGATCGTACAGCCACCGCCACCCATACACTAGTCAAAAATAAGAACTGTCACTCCATCCATGAAACATCACAAAGCCTTGAGTGATTGTTTATTCTAAACACTACTGGCACCCATCTTCAAAGTGTTTTTGAATGACTATAATTACTAAATGAACTCAAGAAAAACCAAAGACTGCAACTGCCAATTGACAAAACAGCCATTGCGTGCAGGGAGATTGCCGGCCACTGAGGCAATTAATCCGCTTGGTTTGCCAGGGCAGAAGGTAACATTCTTCCACCGGGTCAGAGGTAACCAGAAGCTCAGTGCAGCGCTGGAGGCACTGTGCTCAACGGTCATGCGAGATATCACAAAAGGTGTTAGTAGTTACAGGATTCAATCTCAGTTCTGGCAGTTCATCCTTCAAAATAACAAACACCCATGAAATGTCAACGGTCAAAAGTTAAGCAGCATGTGTTTCTGAACTGACTTCCTAGCAGGCTGCTTTCTAAAGGAATTGCTGTTGACTTGGAGGGGTGGGTATTTTCTTGGGGGCAAGCTATCACTAGTTGTTCCCTTTCAGGTCTTTCCAATCGAACTTCTAATTTGTAAAACTGCCAAAAAGCTATAGCCAACACATGGCTGATGGCAAAATTCAGCTTTAAACTTGTCTGCAATGATGCACCAAGTCTTTTGCAAGCTGGAAAAAAAAAATTTATTTCAAGTAACAAAGAGAAAAATGTCATAGCCGGTGAAGCATTAATGCTGTATCGTTCCAGTATGTCACACACAAAACCCATTCCAGCACTACACTCAACCTCTGCTCTAAGAGGAAAGCTCAGCACTGAAATGCCTGCAGGGAAAGTAGTAAACAATTAGAATTAAAAAATAATTAGTTGACACAGCATTTACTAATGAAGCACAATGAAACATCAAACATTATAGTTGATCAAAAACTTCTGGGATAAGTAGCAATGTCCATAAATGGATTGCTACAACTATACATTTCTACATAGTCCAAGGTAACAAGTTTGCTCGAACAGAATGAGCGTATCACACAGATGAGCGGCTAGAAGAAAAAGCTGTACTTCATAGTATAATCACTCATTTGATAATCCGTAAGTGAATGGCATACTAAATGGCAAACATCCTGTTAAGTGAACAAAAATACTTTATGTAAAAAATGTTAACTGTCTTCATTAACGCAGCTGTTTTCGTAAAGAACAAAGAACAATTCTGAACCAGAGCCTGCTACTTTGGGATGCGTTCAAAGCAGCAGTCGGATTTTCATAAGAACTCAATTGTTGTGACAAACAGCTCTTCCCCCCACCTTCCTCTGCCGTGGAGATCGCCAGACAGGCCTAAAACACCCCATCTAGTGGTTCAAAACAGCAATCGAAATGGCAAAAGAACACTTCGGGGTCATTTGCGGCTCCTCGCTTCCTGAACGGGAAACACTATATACACCTAAACACCGACGCTTTCCAGAGTAAGGCTCCAGAAATGACAGCACAGATGCGGAATGGTTTGCTTTTAGCTTATCACGAGCATTTAACAATGGCTCTTACATTGTCACACCAAACCTTGCTTTACTGCAGCCTCTAAGTTTTTCTAGCAGTAGCTGTGTTTTAAAAATATTCATTCCAGTTTATTTCATGTCTGCTTTATTGTAGTGACCTCTTAGGAACAAAAACGCCCTTGACCAGAATAAATGGTCTCAAAAGGTAAAGGCTGATTTATTTTTTTAAATTATTATTATTTCTGTCTTGAAGACGCCAGCTTCCTTCACCCTCATTTTACAGTGAAAAAATGTTAGTACAGGTGAGGTCTACACCGTACAGAGAGTAGCATGTGTACAGTTCTGTGGTGCCGGGGTCGCAGTGTTTTCTTGGTGCAAAAGCATCAACATAACAGACAATGGAGTAAGTGAGAACATTTGTGCATACAAAAAGGGAAGCAAACATTGCAACAGCAAGCAACTTCAGCTCTTCTACATTAAGTATAAACTACAGAAAATTGCTAAGTCCAAAGTCCCAAATACCCCTCTGGGAAAGAGGTAAGCCTAAGAATAGTTTTACCTGTTGATACTCTCTGAATCTGAGCCAGGCAAGCAACTCAATGGCAGCATTCTCTTCCTACACCCTACAGCTGTGTATGTACATAACTGTAATCAAATATCCTGTTGGCAGCAAGGTCCTACTTCAGTACAGTAAAGCTGTAAAGACAGGAAAAACTGTAAGACTTCGACTGTTACTTATATTTGTATTGAGTAAACGCCTTTTAGAACTCGGAACATTTGCCACAACCACATTAAAAACAGGACTGTCTCTATCCACTAAGGAACCTGTTAGCAGCTCAGCGTAAATTGCCATCTTTGTCCTGGTTCTCCGCTCAATAGGCAACAATATTCATCAAGTAAAACAAGTATCCAAGTGTAGAAAGCCTTTTTCATGAAACCCTTCACTGGATCCACTGATTGCACAGGGAAGAGATGCAAGGGTAGGCCTTGGACAGCCTCTTTAAGGACATAATAGGTGGCAAAGAAATCGATTGTTGTCAGTTGTCATACGAGCTGAGCTTTCCAACTGCACTCAGGCAGTTAAAAAAAAAAAAAAATTATTTCAGTTTGGGGAAAATTCTGATAAAGAGAATCATGCTGATGAATATAAAACAAACTACAATTAACATTATCCATAATAACCAGTTGACCGATTTCTTTGCATGTTGTTCAAGGCGGTCAGATTCATCCTTGAGCTTCTCAAAGTTCTGGTCTGCCATCCTGAGAGAATGTGATAGCGTCTGCGGAGCAAAGAGAACAAACGGTTTCAAACTCAGGTTTCTAAGTTCTGACCACCATTTCTTCCAACAGAGAAAAGGTTCAATTGCACTACAGAAGCAGACAGGTATCGCCTCCAAGTCTCCCCACTCTCATCTCACCTGGAATCAAGTTATAGGTATAGTATTTAACATGTTAGCACTTTAACCTTCTGGGATGAACAACTGAAAGTTTAGCACTTTAACATGCGTTACCTGGTTATCTTGTTTTATCACATTCTGTGCAGCCAGAGTGTTGTTTTTGAGACTGCGAGCCAAACTCAGCATTTCTTCAGCTAATTTCTCCTGCATATCCTGATGGTGCTGTAACACAGCATCCAGCTCCACAGCTGACTGCTTCTCATCGGATGCAAGGCCTCTGCAAGAGGATAAGGGGGAAAAAAAAAAGAAAGGCATTCATACTTCCCTGTGGCTTGATCTCCCAAGGTCTCCCCAGACTCTGCAAATCTGACAAGACAACAAGAATAGCTAAATCAGCTGAAGTCATTATATTTAGGTTTCTACCAGCAGGGACTTCACCCAAATGGAAGTACATCCATGATTTAAAGGTCATTGGGAAAGCAGTTCCCAAAACACTCAGCATCAGTATGAGAAATTTTGACTTACTTCCGCTTCCTTATGTTTAACTCCTCAGAATCTGGAAAAAGAGTTAAATTCGTGTTTCAGCACATTATAAATTCCCATTCAATCATAGGCTGAACAAACAAATTTTTTGTAAGGGATTTTCAGATGTCCAAGTCCTACTTGGCCCTCTACACCAGTGAATATGGATTTCAAATGCCTACCTGCTTTCCACAGGGGTAAAAGACTACACATAACATCAAATGTATGGTGGAAAGAAAAAACAGATGAATCATATCCCTGAGGGCATGGTTTAAGCCCGTGTGTCTTGGTGTTCTCTTTCAGGACACGTTAGATTGGCCCAGCTCCAGCCACTGTAACAGTAGCTATGGAAACCGCAAATTAATTCCTACCAGTTCCCTACGTGAATAACATGTCTGTATACTGAAGAGGAACTGAACAGCACCCACTCTAAGCACCTGTAATCACATGATTTACTCAGAGCAGAAGAGAACAGGAGCAATAATAAAGGTAAATTGTCTTTGCTAATTCTGTAATTAGAATGTCTGTTTCTGTATGAATTCTAGAAAAATAGGTTCCTGCAAGTCCCTGCTACCATACTGATAACAACACCTAGGCTTTCAACAGTTAGGGGGTTTGGTTTTGTTTGTTTTTAAAATCTGCTATCTTGAAAAGAAGTGAGCCACTAAATGAAAAGTACACTTTGGCCAATCTCTAATACCTGACCTTCCTCTTTCTCTCCCTGCAAGACTCAGATTAACTGAAGTTGGAGAAAATAACAGATTAAGCTTACCATCCATGGCCAAGCGGTCCTAGGAGGCAGAAAGAGAAACAAAACAGAAGATTACAAAGGGCCAGTGATAAAAGATAGTCCTCCAGGCCTAGGACAGTGCCTGTAGCCAATATTGAGAATATCCAAACCAGAAAAAAGTGACTCCCCACCCAGCCTGGGACACATCTGAGGCACAGCCACCAAAGGCAGCTGAATGCAACAAGAGACAATCTATAAAGTAGCTGTAAAGATGCAGCAACACCAAAACCTACTGTACCAAGCAGCTCACTCCTCATCTTGCCTGTGCAACGAGCCTTTGTCTGCAGATGAACTGTTTTAGTAGCTGGGGTTCTCTCTTTGGTTGTAGTGGGGGTACGCCCAGGGGCCAAGAACTGATTTGCCAGAGCCTTTTCAGTTGATGAAGACTGTGAGTAAGAAGAAACAATGAAAAATCATGAGTATCGCATTCTGCAGTGTGAGGCCACCTGGGTGCGTAACCAACAAGGACGCAGGGAGCATTTCCACAGCTGCTTCCCACCAAATGGCTGAACAGCAGTGCTGACTGCACCCACACTAATTGTGGTCCAGCTTATTGGCATTTCACAGCTCTCCAGATGGACGTGGTGCCGACCAAAAGAGGCCTTAGGCCTAAGGGACAGTACCTGCCCCTGTATCTCATGACAATGAAGCAAGAAGGATGTAGGCAAGATGTACTTTGCTTTTGAAAAGGAAGAAAGCAGTTTCAGATCTCATAAAAATACCCCCTTTTAACAAAATCCAAAAATCCAATATATTTATTAACGTTTTTACAAGGATTGCCTATTAAGTTTTTAATAAGTGTTAATTTTGAGACTTAAGATAAAGGAAAACGTAAGAACCAGGCAACGGGGTGACTATAAGCAGAGAATGCTTAAGTCTTTTCAAGCTGAACTAGCAGATCTTACCAGTTTTTCAGCTTCTAAAAGTCCCTTTAGGAAGTCCACTTTGCGAGAGTATTCATTCAGCAGTTCTGGGGCAGGCTTGCTATTGGAATTGAAAAATAATACAACGAGAACCAGAAGTTATCAGCGTTTTCTATTATAAACCAACACCTGGTTCTTCAAAGCAGCATGTTTTAACAGAATACGGCTCAGGCTAGAAACAGGCTTGCAAATCTCCTTTTCCAAGGCGTGGTGGGTGCTGTCGGCTCGGGGCACGGGCACTGCCCAGGCCAAGGCTGATGGACAGGCAGATGTATCTGAGCACACCACAGCGTTGCACAGCTCCTCACGGAGCTGCTCGGCGGGCACAGCTTCTCCATCACCGAAAGGTATTCCACAGGGAACCGTACGCACTACCGTGTTGTTCATGGGCTACGTCCATCTTACAGGTAAGCAACTAACGACACCGCAAGTGACACCCGCCCGCCCCAGGGTCTCAGCGCCACTCACCCAGACTGCTTCTTCAGCTCTCGGAGCATGTCCTCAAGAGCAGCCACATACTAAGGAGAAAAAAGCTTTTAAGTGACAGCTTTAAGAAGAAATATTCTGTCTAGCAGAGGCTGCGGCAGGGCTGAGAGCGAGGCTGGAGTTATAACACTCCACAGCGCTCACTGCCTCAGTTTATTTCAAGGAGCCAAAGCGCGCTGCTGCGGGGACAGAAGTGTTCAAGGCCAGGTTGGACGGGGCTTGGAGCAACCCGGGCTGGTGGGAGGTGTCCCTGCCCAGGGCAGGGGGGTGGAACTGGATGATCTTTAAGGTCCCTTCCAACCCAAACCGTTCTATGATTCTATGACAGGGGCGGGAGTCTCCAGCGCCGCGCCGTCCCCGGACGTCCGGACCGCACCTCACCTTCTCCAACCGCCACGTACCTTGGGCAAGTACTTGTTTTTCTGGGCCTCGTTGCCGTTACGCACCAGCTGGTTGATACAAAGGTTTGAGTGGGCACCGTAACTAAGCCCAACAGCCGCTGACGCACGAGAAATTTCCTCCATCACCAGCACGTGGTCCAGATACCCCAAAGCAGATCCACCATATTCCGCTGAAAAGAGAAGCGAAACCTCACGTGAACCACCATGGAGTACATCACACAAACACACAAGGTCCCAGGGTCGGGCTCAGTCTTGAAGGAGGTGCTGTGGCAGCTGAAGGCCTTTACAGGGCGGCGCCGTTTTGTTTAAAAAACACCCCAAAGTCAAGGCAAAAACCGCACACAGACGTCCAACACAGGTGGCTGCTGCAGCCACAGCCCCGAAGGCAGCGACAGAGCGCCCGAGGCGTGCTCTTCCTTCCCTTCAAGGCGGAGCAGGGCCCGCAGCGCTGGGAGTCCAGCCCGGTTGTGGGAAGGGCTGGGGCAGACCTGCTGCCCCACAACGCTTTAGGTAGGGTGGCACCTGGCCCTCAGGGGTTTCACCTCACAGCTGGGGAGCCGAGGGAGACCAACACAGCTCCACATAGCACAGGTGTCCACCACTATGGCTCCGTTTGCTCCAAGAGCACCAAAATGGTCTGCAGTGACACCGCAGGCTTGGCATTAGCGCTTCCTCTGGAGAGCTTTCCCAGTGCTTTATGAAGTACTGACAAAGGTACGCAATTCCCATTAAAGGCTTCCTTCGGAAGAAGTGGTTCATTAGACAAGGCAGACATTGATAAACTACCACATGTATTTTTAAAAAGTGCAATGTATTAATAAACATTTTTATATGTTTTGGTCTCAGTTAAGGCTATTACATTAACAGTTTTGTAAACCACACAGAAAGTTGTCCTAAAAACATAAAAAAAAATTAAGGCAACATACATTGACCCAAACTCGCTGATGGTCCCATTAGAGTCCGTTGTAAGGCAAATGGAAGAAGGCACGGCAGCAGAATCTGGGGACTTTTTTTTTTTCCCCTGGACATTCAATCCCTGTACATTACTCAACACAAGTTTTATGTTCTACTTTCCTTGCAGGGTTTTAATTTAAATTGAAGAATACTCATTTTAAACAACCTTGCTTCTTAACCCTTAGAGTACTGTACATGTCCTGGCTGCATTCCCAGCAGCCACTTAAAAGAACATGAACAAGTTCACAGCCTTCAAAGGGTTAAAGCCAAAGCTGCAGTCAACTTCAAAGAAGTCCAGAGAGCTGAAGTATTTCACTTCTCTATACAGGGAATGTGAGAGTAAGGGTCCGAAAACCTCCGTTTTACTTTTGCTGTGGGTTCGTATTCATCCAAGAGTTCCTGAGCGTGGGCCACTGCAGACCCGTGTGCAATGTATACAGAGTGGATTTTATCCGTTCGCCTTGCTGGCTGCTCCCTTCGTCTCATCATTATCTGAGACTCTTCGTTAGCCAAAATCCTGCCCTGGGATTCTGTACATTTGAAAATCCCAGGTGGAAGTTTTATATTTGCTGTTGGCATCACTGGAGTTCGACGGGGCACTTTAATCTTGGACAGTGTTAAAGATGATCTGTGTCTTGAAGCCAGGGATGCAGAGGAAGAATTTGAAGAGCTTTGCAAAAGGGAAGGCACTTTGCAAATGTCTTTGGCAGGCATACTGGAGCTCTGAGCACGGCAGTGTAGTCCAATAATTGCTTTAAAGAAACAAGATACTTAGATACTGAAAGCATGCATAAAAATGGAACTTGATACAAGCAACCGTGACCAGATAACATCTGGTCACCTGGCTGTATGCGGTGAAAGATGTAGAATAAAAAAAAAACACACACTACCTTAATACTGACCTTCGGTATCCATCCGTCCTGTTCTGTCTTCAAGCAGGCTCTCTGTGCTCGCTGAGGTCTCGGAGTCTACGTTTTCCTCATCAGAGCCTCGCTGATCAAGCTCCGGTAACCGGTAAGTTATATCTTCCCTACATCAAAACAGAGATTTTAGCACTCCAGAAAGACAGTATCTCTGACATGATCAACTTTATGCAGCACGTATTTCAGAGCTAAACCTTCCTGCATGTAGTTATTAAATATTAATTCTCATGGCATTGTCTCTCGTCTAGTCCTTTTCTTTTTCCTTTTCACCTGCATAAAGGCCTACAGAACAGGATTAGCTAGATCATTTTGGAAGAGAAGTATACTGCTTTACTATCAGTACCACCTCCAACTGCAAAGGACATGACCTACAGAGAGATAAAGGGTCTTCAAAGCTGTGACTTACTTTTCTTCTTTTATCGACTGTATGCGATCAATGAGAATCTCCTTTTCCCGGTTATCAGCTTCAGAAACTTCCTCTTCTTCATGCAGTGAGTCCAGTTCTGAGTTGCCACTGTCATTTCCTTTGACCTGTGAGCTTTTACTCTGCAGGACAAATTTACATGTAACACTTCTCAGTCATAAGAAGCTACACACGTGTCTTTACTGTCTACTAAGTTGTAAGGTGGAAGACAAATGAGCAGGCCAAATGAAGGGCTGATGGAATTGATGAAGAGCTGTTAGTTTTCGTACAAGTGTTTCAAAGAGTAATAGAAATTTTTCTATTCACCTGATTTCTCGCGTTTTGTTACCTTTTTTGAAGCATAGTAATTTAATTTGCCAGCTTCAACTTAGCTTTAGTAGTCACTTATAAGTAATATTATTACATCAAATACAAGTTATATTCAGAATGTCTATAAAATACCAGAGTCACGACAGAATAGGTCAGCAGCCCTGCATGCAGTCTGGGGAGAAAGTTGCACCAATACATGCAGTCTCAATTGTTCAAAGAGTACTTAAAACCAAGTTACAATACACGTAGTAAGTATTTTAGTCATGCAATAGTGCCATAAGAAAAAAACAACATGCACTCTTAACACAGGCAGTGTACATACCCGCATCCCCTCGTAAGGGGAAGAAAACCCAAGTTTTACAGGCCAGAGCTAGAGAGAGATGAAGACCAAATTCACTATATGCGGCTTCTCATCAGACAGAGTTTGGTTTGTTTTAATCAGTACAATAAAAACAAAAGAAAAAGTGTATTTGTCCTAATAAAAGGCAACATATTTTTGTCCACCATCCATCTCTGGAGTGAAGGAACTCCTTTGCCATGTAAGAGACTCAGCAAACTTAGTTCTACTGACTGAATTATATGGGAATAGATTTTGACCACTACCGTTTATCAGACAGACTCCAGTGCAGCTGTATATTTAGCTCCTACCTACAGCTTTGGGCAAGTCCAAATCCCTTTTCTTCTTATCTTACAATTGATCTTTGACTTACTGAATGGGATGGACGGGACAAATAACTAGCACATCCCTTCCCAAGAAAGCGGTGGGATGCTTTCTGCTGGATGGTACCGTTCTGTGGTTTATTTCAACACTTACCGTATTCTGCCGAAGCAATGAGAGTCGTCGAAAAGCGATGCTCTCAGCTGCTTCCAGCTGATTTATTTCATCCATTTTTATCTTGTACTTCCTTATCTGTTCCTTTATGAGCATCTCTACACACCTGGACAAAAGGGGAAGAGCTTATTGAGCAGCCTCACACTATAACAGCTCTGGGGACAACCATGGTGGGATGAAGTGCCTCTCCCAGCTTGGAGATGTTTGCCACACACACACACGTGGATGGCATGCAATCCAAGTGTCTCACTGGACACCTTACAGTGGGCAGCACTGCATGGTAACAGGGTGAAGAGTTCAACATGGCAAGCAAAACAGGACAGACTGTTACAGGTAATGGCAGATGTTCTTCCTGGGATAACCTGAGCCTCCCACGCTGACTGTACACAACAGTGGTAAGCAAACAGACATTACCATGGCTGCTAACTGCTTCTGCTGCTTCTACCTGTCTTCCCTGTGCTGGCACAGGCTGGTAGATACAGAATGAGCCTGCAACCGCCCTTTTCCACCTCTGTGGCCCCATGGGCAAGTGCGAAGTTACAAAAAGCTGTCAGTTTTCAAACTCTGCTTTCATTGGAGGCAGATGGGAGGCCAGCCATGTAGTGAGGATGGCGAGGGGCATTCAGAGAGCCAGAGCTGCTGGAGGGTGAGGAGAACAAAGAGGATCAAGGACAGAACCTTCTTCAATTCAGGCAACAACGTAGAAGAAATTATCAGGGGTTTCCAGGTATGCAGGAGACAGTTTAATCCTATATCCTACTGTTTATTACGGCTTGTATCTCAGCAAAATAGATATGATTAGTGTACAATACCCCCAAAAATATATATGATTAGTGTACAACTTCCCCCTCCCCAAAATATTATCTTGATGTAAAATACAAGCCTGATATTTAAGACTTAAAAGTCATCCTACTTTATGCTTTATAAACTTGAGGCAGGTGGAACGAGTCAGAGAAGGGCATATAAATTGGCAGCAATAGCAGAACCAGAGTTTAGCAACTCAACCCTCAGATTCTCAGCTTGATATGAATAAGGCTGTAACAAATGCAGGCAGCAGTACTGGCCTTCCATCATATTTCAAAGTTCTACTTTGCAGCAGACTGCTAAAACTTACATGGTTGTTTTTGAAACATCCTTCATGCTGGTTAAAGGGTCAGAGGTATCAGGACAACGCAAGAGGCATGGAGCAAAAACAATGGCCAAGGCATTGGGTGACATACGGTTGACATCTTCTATCAAAGCCACTCTGAAATTCAATGTTCAGGAGAAAAAAAATAATTAAAAAATGTAAGCAATCCTTGCTAGAATACAAGCAATCTGATCAAACTTGCCAGAGTTCCCAAATAACATGTAAGGAGGCCTCTAGAGTACTAAGCACGTACAGCAGTTCAAAGGAGTTTGAAATTATTTCACACCTACTAAGTGGGCAGTTTCATGCATCAGAAAAAGAAACAGGGAGCCACGCAGATTAAGCTAGTTTGGTAGCCTCTCAAAGTACCTCTGGTGATTCAGTGCCGCCTCTTTAAAAATCCCTTTTCCCTATGGTCAGAGGGCTGCTTGGAAAATTCCCAAGTTCCTTGGTAAGAGCAGCCCCTTTATCGGTACCACTTATCCCTGCTCCTAAGACTAGCATACGTGCAAGCATTTATAATCCTTACGCAGCCCCTACCAAGTACACTAACATCCTCAGTTCAGCATGAGCCCATTGGATAAATCCTGGTGCTCAGGTGACTCGCCAAGTCTTTCAGATCTACCCTGACTTCAAAGCTGTTCTTACCTGATTTGATACAAATACCCCATATGGTAGAAGTAAGCACATGTCTGTTTTTAAGCAGAACTATCAACTTCCATTCTTCCATTTCTAAACCAGCAGCACGATCCCTACACTGACACTCAAGGGGTTTAAGATTTTAGAAAGCTTCCAAAAGGGACTCAAAAAAGTCACGTGGGGTTTCTCTCCAAATGAAATAATTAAACTCATTACTTGACCAGATGGAAGATGAGTCGCTCCAAGGTATTATGATTGGCTTGTGGCAGCTGTTCAAGGACACTGTAAATGGCACAGAGTTGCTCCTGTTTTTCTGGTAGTTCTGCACAAGGGGAAAAAAAGCACAAGATCATAATTGCTGTGCAACGCTAGTGGAAAGCCTCCAACCACTTCCTGACATTGTCTCAAACGGTCTGCAACAGATAGCGAATTAATTCTTAGAAGTCATGCTGTCATTTCATTTACCAATTGTTTTAACTGCATGTTAAAGTACCACTCATGGCACTGCAATTTTCCTGCTTTTTCAGATGCTGCTGCTGTTAGCAATCATCAAGTGACACGTCAAGATCTCCAACTATATTTAGGGTGCCTTAATCCCACTGCAGTAAAACGAATCTAAAGATTTGAGGTATTCGGATATCTAGATCTGGTTCAGAACATCAAGGAGAAAAAACCCTGTATGAAAGGAAACTTATTCACAAGCTCACTGTTTTTAGAAAGAGCAGTTGTATAGCGACATTATGCTCAAAAAAAAAAAAAAATCCTGAATCAAGGACAAGTAAGCTTTAATTCCCTGAAAAGTGTTTTATGTGACACATCTAAAATCATTGCTGTAAGCGTACTGGAAGGAACCTGTTTAGAGAGCATGGAGCATCTTGGTGTTTCTTTTGCCAAGGACATAATGCATTAAAGAAAAACAATTCCTTCAAACATTTCTAAAACGCACCTACAGCTCGGAGAAAATCATTGTACTGCGCAGATGTCATTAGTGGATCTGGTAATTCCCGTAGCCATTGCTTAAGGATGCCTGTAATAGTGTGAATAGGGTAATTCTCCAGTTTCACTGAGTTTGGATCTGAAAAGAAATGTTTTATTTAGAGCAGTTAGTTCCTTTGATGAACACAATGAGACCCCAAAGAAATAAGATTAGAAACACTCAGATCTCCTGTTTGCAGAATCCAAATGGCAATTCAGAAAAGGAAAAAAAAAAGAAGAAAAAAATCTGCTGATAGTCACTTATATGTACTAAGCAGCTTTTTCCAGTCAACAAAAATAACACAGCTGCAAGGCCACCAAAAAGCTGGGTTTAAAACTCTAAAAAGTGCCAGATACTTTCAGATAGAAGAGAATTGCAGGGAAAACTGATATCATGCAAGGAAGTCAAAAGGACAGACAACACTGCCTGACCTGCTTGCAGCAACTGTTTCAGCTCCTTCATACGATTTGCTGATCCCGATTTCCTGTAAATGCCTTCTGTGTAGAGGCCGTGCATCTCCACATACTCCAGCAGCTTCTCCATGACAATGGGGACTGAATTTCTCTCACTGGTCAGGGAACTCACACACACTCCAAAATGACGTGGTTCTGCATCCTGTTCGTTCTGGAATCGATACACGTCAAGCACTGTGAATACCTGTTCCCAAGCTAGAAAAGTCCGTTGTTTCATGCTACGATTAGCTTATGCTTCCAGAAACAGAAGCAGAGTATTTTATTGTAGCTTGCTACAAGCCTTTGATCATAAGGCAGATTTCCTGAGCTGCAGCAAGAAAGAAACTTCATGGTACACACTGAAGGATTTCGTTAACAGTTTGTGTAACACAACATACATAAAGGAAGAGTTCCCAAATTAAGCCAAGTACCACCTTTTAGAATAACGTTCTGTTTCTGCAACTGCATACTCTGACTATACGCAGACAGAGAAGGGAACTTAACTGTTTAAGCAATTTTTATTCAGTGCCTGGACATCCATGTTCATTTGCTGAAGAAAAAAAGGCAGCATTTTGCATGCGTCACTTATGGTATCACAGTACCGCATCCCAGATCTACAGTTCTTACCTTTTTTCCACAGGATGTACAGCTGCTCTGGATTTTCGACATGCATTTCTTGTGACAAGTCAACTTGCAAACTAGAGAAAGGAGCAATTGTTACAGGAATTCCAAATCACATTAAAACACTACATATCTAGTCTTATTCAAGTACTATGTAACCTGCATAGACTGTTCACTAAGCCTCATCTGTACCAGCCAAAGTTACAAGCAACCTGCACATACGGTAAACTGAGTGGCAAGAGTGAGGTGTTCTCACTTACCACTGCAGAGACAGGCCTTTTCCATGGGCCAGATGTAGGACGAGCAGTGTTCACACGACTGCCGTATGCTCACTTGGTAGTTTGTGAATACATGGCCATTGTGTTCTTCAATCTGGTAGGAGACAGGACAAAACTCATGGATTTTTTTGCCTTTTTTATTATTATTACTGTTAATAAAACTATCTACCCTGTCTTAGACTTTCCACTTTTATTTTACAGTTGCAGCTGATGGCTTTGACCTTGAAACCAAATGTCACCCTATCTTAAAGAAGTTGGGTTTGCTGGGTCATTTCATAATTGACTTGCCACCTGAGTTAAAGTTCACCAGCGAAATACATTAGCTATAGTTTGTTATTAATATTTAGTAGCTGTTTTCCTTTAAATGGTCCCATTATTGAGAAAGCCATTAGGTTCTAAAAGATGGTATGGACAAGCAGGAAAATGCTAGAGTACCAGCTATCACTGCATAAGCAAGATCCTTGATTTATGGAAACCAGTTTTATATTGTATCACATTTTCAAAAAAGCAGCAAGTGATTTAGCACGCAAAATAAAACAGAACTTCAGTACAAAAGCAAGCTCTTTTGAGACTGTTTTTCTCTGTGTTCTGTGAGTGCAGCTTACATTATCGCAAAAAGAAAAGTACTTACTGAACGATCTTGTTTTCGTTTCTTCTTCTGGGCTTTGGTTTGCTGCAGTGGAGTACAGAACTGGCATTAGTCTTTGCAATTCAGACATTCCATTCCCTTTTTTTCCTATTCAGTTTCCCAGACTCTACTTCACCTCCAGACATTTTGAGACACTATACTGCAGCTTCAGCTTGGTATGAGAGTTGTCTGAGCTCATGCTGTCAACTTCCTAAAAATCAACTGAGCTCACTGCCAGATGACAAAGGAATTCGGTCTCTAAAACCTTCAGAGAACTCCTAAGTTTTCACCAAAGAAAATGCACAAACGCTTTAAGATTCTGAAAATATTAACAGTAAGTTAAATAATGAACAATTCCAAAAAGGCGTATCAGCATTCAGAATTTGTTTCCCAAATAATGACAAATGCTATGGAAAAGGTTGCTGAGGTAACACAGGTTCCTTATCCTACGAGAGTAACATTGTTTAATCATCCCGTAAGCCAGTAACAGAGTAAGTTTTATACCTTGGGCTGCTCAGATTCCTCTTTTTTTGTATACCCTCTGATGAATTCATCCAGAAGGGATTGGAAGAGATTCAAAACCAGCTTGACTTCTTTCTCTTCCCTTTTTTTAGCCAGATTTGTAACTAGAAGCTGGTAATTTTCCACCAGATCTTTGTAGCCAACGTGGATTTGTCCATTCTAGAGAAGGAACAAATATCATTCAGAAGACAGACTTTTTGGATACAGTTGATACAGTTTCTGATTTTTATGTGTTTAAGTTCAGAGGTGAGAAAGTACACTCCTGATTAAAGTAAAAGATAGCAGCCAGTGACAGAAACAAGTTAGCACACTTCCCTGCTACACTGTAGAAGGGCACTTGGCAGAGATGGGGCAGTGTTGTAAGAATATTGGAAAAGCAGTTGGCACTTCTCTTCAGTGTTTACACACAGAAACACGAAGAGGCTGAAGACAGCAAAATCCATCCGCTTCTAAAAATAAGTTAGAGCTGAGTGAATGAGAAAAGGGAAGCAACGCAGTCTGCTTAAGATTACAGCAGAACTGTAAAATGTCCTTTTTCAAGTCTAACACTGAGCTTTGAATTCTATGCTAAAAACTGGTGAATTGTTTTGCTAAAGAGCTGTAGGTCAAGCATTTAAACTGCACATTAGGTTAATTTATTACCTACCAATTTTTTCATTTATTGAGACTTACTACTTACAGGAGCAGAGTACATGGTCTTGATGTTTCCTCTAAACTTCTCCGTGGCTTCAAAAAACAAACATTCAACACCAGACTTCTGGGAGCGTAAGTCATTGATCTAGAAGGCAAATACACCTGCATCAAATTTCATTAAAACAAGAACATCCAACCAGTGTTAAGCTTCAGGTGCTGGGCTTAGTCATCTATGACCATTCCAATTATTTAAAACATTTCTTAATGCACTGTCATGATACAAAAATAGAGGTCCTATAGGAACGCTCTAAAGAACTCTATTCCCTTAAAACTCATGCTTTGCCTTTTTTTTTTTTTTTTAAATAAAACTTTTGCTGCTCAGTTATTTGGAAGCAAATGAAGAACTAACATGAATGCCACCAGGATTTAACATAATAATGCATTTAGAGACTTAAAGGAAGGAGTAGGAAGGGTCTCAGACCTAATTCAGTCAAGCTATCAAATCAATTCCCCTGTGCTTTAAATCATAATATAAACTTGCACCTAGAAAAGTAGACTTTAAAATTCCACACAAACAGTGAAGATAGACCTGAATTTTATCATAGTTGAGTGTCTTTTACCTTATTTAGGAGGAACTCATCAAGATGTTTCAGTTCATTGGCATTTGCAATCTCACGGACTATGGATGCTCGCCAATTCTGAGACACACTTGAGATCTTGCTGATCTTTATAGTTCGGTTCTTCTTTGCTTTACTACTCTCTTTCACATGGCGCTCCCCAGCCTGGAGACGACTTGGCTGTCCAGAAGAAGCTGGGAAAGAAATTAATTTGTATATTAAAGTAGGATGACGGAATTCTTCAGTATTTGTTTCCTTAATAGCCATGCAAAACATTACAGAAAAGATGGTATTAGCAAGCTCGGGATTACATCACAGAAACTCACCTTCTGAAACTTTCTGGGTTCCTCCTGTTTCTGAAAAGAGAACACAAGACACAAGGGAGAGGCCTTCTCCTTCATCAATCACATCAGGACTCTCCTTTGGAATTTTCTTGTCTGGCTTTTTCCCCAAAAGTCTACGCAAAGGACTTTTAAAAGCAGACCTGAACATAAAAGCAGATACAAGCTTGTCACATTAGTAATGGAAGCTGGCTCTACTACAAGAAAAGGCTCTTTTAACAGTACAGCTAACACCCACGGTAAGATTAACCTCTATAGTGCACATTTACTCAAAGGTCCAACCTGCAGAAAAACCGAGCAGCAGAACAAAAGAACGACAGTCTGAAAGCACATCTGGACATTCTGATGTTTGCTAGATTAGAGCACTACCTTCAACGTACACAGAGACAACACATCACTTATCCAAAATGACATTTCTGGCTCAGGAGGTCCCTGAGCTGCAGAATGCCAGAAGTTGGGGGAGCAGGCCAAGGAAACAACATTACATGCTCATTGGGTTCTTAAGCTTTTCTCTTAGTGTTATTTCTCAGTCTGGATGATGGTACACTACCCAGACCTTTGATCTGAGCCTGTATGGTGGTACTCAAATTAAAAAGAACCAGTCCAAAGACAAGCGTTATGCAAGAAGGGTTAGCTATCATGCTTACATCAACACGAAGATCAAGTCAACCAGTAACACAGCCACTCATGTAGCTGAAGTCAACACGTGTGTCTCCACAATCAGTCTCAAGACGCCCAATTCAAGTACCAGTGGAAAATCTCCTCCCCTTTTTTTTTATTTTGAGGGGTTTTTTTTCCCATTTTCTTAAAGGCAGGCCCGTCGCACAGAATACATACTTGGCATCGATTTTTGCTGACTTGATGACTGCATGGAAGCGCCTGCATCCGAGGTAGGGAAGAGGTCAGTGGACTTCTTTTGCACAGGGTATTTCTTGTTGCCTTTTTCTTCTTCTATCGTGCTGACTTGATGACTGCATGGAAGCGCCTGCATCCGAGGTAGGGAAGAGGTCAGTGGGCTTCTTTTGCACAGGGTATTTCTTGTTGCCTTTTTCTTCTTCTATCGTATCTGGTGATTGCTACAGGAGAATGAATGAGGAGTCAAAAAGCTACGTATTGAGCAAAACAGATTTTTTAAATGCTTTTAAAAAACAGAATGGTGAAAAAAAAGTTTGCTTCATCACAAGAAAACAGTTTACCCAATAGGTATTAGCTTATTAATATAAGATCCACATCTATTTAATGCTTGGATCAAGGGTCCATTTATTAAAAATTACGTTTCCAAATTGTTGTATAATATTTGCTGATGAAGTTTTTTTTACATGGATATCAAGCCAAAAAAATCAACCTGAAAGGAACACAGGCATGCAGAACACACTATAGCCAATTATTCACAAATCTTATAAATTTGTAAACAAGGATAATTAAGTATAAATATGGACAATAGCATCAGTACCTGATTCATGGCAACAGACTGGGCAAGTGTTGCGAGATCACTTAATGAAGATGAGTTCCCCTTCCTTCTGCAATGTTACAAGATTAGTTTCAGATTATATATTTTATAGAAGTCTGTAACCTCTTAATAATTACCACCTTTTAAATAACCCACATATCAATGTTGTATCTGAGAGTGCATCCGGATCAACTCTTGCAACTCACTTTTAAATGCAAACTGTACTGGAGAAGTAAAAGAACATGGGTATGTCAGATCTCCTGCCATATCAGAGGGACGACGCTTGCAAACTGCATGTCACTAAAACCTTGTTTTCAATGGACCAAAGACACATGAAAATAAACTCCAGACACTACTTTAAGTGAAGCCCTGACTCTCCATTTTAACTCAGCAAGGCAGGGTTTGTATGTTTTGTTAGCTTCTGAAAACTTTCTACCGATACGCATGCAACTGCAGGACTAGGGACTGACAGCCAAGAAAAAGCAGCAGTTGCTCATAGTTCTATTTTCTCCCATAACATGGCCAGATGTACAGGCTCTCAGGAGTTCTCCATCTAATTTTAAATATTACAGATATCTGTTTTCTGAAAAAGTCAAAATAATTAGGAAGCTGCCCTTACTCAAGCTGATCCTGCGGAGACTTATCCGCTCGTGTTCTTTCATCCAAAGACTGACTCAGCATATCATTCTGACTGGCATCAGACTGTCTCTTTCCTTTCCACTTCTCTCTCTTGTACTTTAGTTTCCCTGGGTCATCCACATATCTCTGGATTGGGGAAGTGGTGGGACTATCCAGATCTTTGGTTGCCTTCTGGGCAGGATGTTTGGTTTTATCTGCCCAGCATTCAGCTGGAGTTCGAAAGCTCCCAGTAGCAGATAGCGTATTATGAAGATTCAGTGCAAGATTTGTTGGCCTTTCAGGGCAGTTAAAACTTTGGCTGCCTTTTATCTGGTTATTTTGGTTCCCTTGTGTTTTCATTCTATCAATTGCCTTATCATCTACTTTTTCCCTTTCTGATACAGGTTGTTGCTCAGGAATAGAACTGTTTTCTTTTATCTCGCTTGATGGTGGTGCGTCTGAAGGAGCTTTTTCTTCACTTGGACTTTTCTCTCCCTCGCTGCTTCCTTGAAGGACAATATCTTGTGCTGAGGATTCCTTTGGCACTGGAACAGTTTCCAGGGCCTCTTCAGAAGAGGTTTGTTCCTTGTGGCACAGTAAAGATGGTCCTTCAAAGGAAAACAGGACATGCTTATTCTGTAACTCGTTATGTTCCAGCCCCCTCTGCCGGCGAGATTCACGTTTCTCCCGGCTGTGTGTCACTTTCTCAGAGCCCTCTGTCACGTTCTTCTGGGGTAACACGGCCTTTTCAGACGAGCTCAAGTTTTCATCTTGCTCACTTGGAGTTTGATCTCTGTCCCCAACAGTTTGATTCAGCTCTGACTCGTGTTTCCCAGGCAACTGATCTGTTGCTGGTTCACTGAGCTCATCCTTGCTCTCATCATTCTCTCTGGCTTGGTCTTCCTGCTTCTCTTCAGCTTTCTGCTTTTCCATAGCCATTTTCTGAAATCTGTTAAGAATTTGTAAGATCAAAACATAAATATTAAACACACAGTGGTCAAGGAAAGTACCCAAATGTTTAAATGCAGCAATACAGACACAAAATACAAATACACTTACAGTCCCAGTGTGACTGCATGGAGGTCTACTTATTAGGACTGGCACACATCAGTGCAGCTCAGCTGAAAAATGCTCAAGTACTAAGGGCTTCACCAGTTTCCACACACCACTAGCCATTTGATACCGACTGCAGTATCACACAGTAAACAACTTAAAGATAATTATCACCAAGTCAACATGTCACACAGCAACTGAGCTTGGCAAGTGAAGCCAAGTAGCTAAGTGGTTAAAATGCACATTTTCATATCATATTGCTCCCCTTCCTTTACCTCTTACGCTGTAGATGCCCTCTGACCATGGCTTGCACAAGACAAATTCTCCTCTTCTGCTGAAGGTAGCATTTTCGCTCCCTGTATCTTCGCCATGCTGACTGAATATGAGTGGCAGCATTATTTCTCTGCAGTGCCACCCTAACACAACGGGAACGCCAGCAAGCCTAAGAAGGGAGATTTCTAAAGTAAGGGGGGGTACTTGAAGGTGAGGACTGTTATTTGAGAGGGTTTGCTTGCCTGTTAGGAAAAGACTGGCGATTCTCAAAGGTACCTGTAAAACAATGGCTGCCTGCCGTGTTCTGAGAAAGCGTCTCCTTTCTAAAACCATCCTGAGCCAGCTCTGAAGGAGAATGATTTTCCTGATCACTTCTTTGTGTAGTGTATCCTGTAGTATCTGCCGTTCAGCCTCTTTCATAAAAACCTGCTCAGTTAAAGAAAAGTTCGTCAACAAACAGTTAACAGGAGCCTTTCCGCCCCCACTGGAGGTATCTCCACAAGCTAAAATATGAGCATGGTAATACTTATTGCTGAACTAAACCTTATCGGCTGACAGCAATTAGCATGCCCAAAAAGTAAAAGTCCTTTTATTTCACCAAACTTCAGTGTTGGGATTCTAAAACATACAACTGTACTTACAGCCTTCAAATCACAGAACCCTTCTAAAATCAAAACATTGACCTGGTTGATAAATGCCAATAGCAACAATTTCCCAAAAGTATTATCCATAAAATACAGCATTTTACTGTATTGCAAGAAGAGAGGTTAGCATCAAAAACGATGCGGCAACTACTAACTACTAACGAATGCGTCAAGATTTACAAGAGTTAAAATAGCTAATTTAAATACAAAACGCAGAGAAGAGCAACACCTGTAAATGAACTGCACTAAATTTTGCAGCGTACACCAGTACTTCTTATTGGCTTATGAAAAGTTTCACAGACCTTGGTCGTCCCTATTTGATAGTAGTTTTCATTCAGTTTTAGTTTATTCAAGTAAACACAAATGTCTTCCTTAGAGGCTTTGGCATTTTTGGGCAGTAACACCTGAAACTGGTCTATGAATTCCTGTGAAAAGCAGAGACAGTAAGAGAACAAAGTTAGAAGGCAATTCACAAGTTTAGAGTTTTACCTAGATTTCTAAAATTAAGCTAAGACATCTGAGCTAAAGGGGTTTGAAAGTACTTATTTCTCACTCCAAATTGAGCTATTTTTTCCTACTTCGTAAAAATGCAGGCTTCATTCAGCCCCCAATTAACAGTAAATATCACCTATATGTGATCTATAAAGCTACACGCACAGAGTATTTTATAGAAAACAAATTCACATATGGAGACAGTAATGTGCAGCACTGATTGCTTATACAGCACTCCAAATGCTTTCCCTTCATGCAACGAGTAGAACAACTTACTGGTAGATAACTCACACAGTAGTTTAGACTACAACTCATTACCATGCAGGCTCTACCAAAACTACAATGAATTTTTACAGTTCATCCCAAGTGGTCATGAGCTTCATACGAAGAGAAACACAAGAGACACTGAGGCAATGTGTGTTTTTCCAAAAAGAGCAGATATTTCTGAAAGCACAATCCACTTCCACATACCTGGAATGTATATTTGGCACTATAACCAGATCTTCTGATTCGCACAGTTTCTAGCATGCCAGTGTATCTTAACTGTTGAAGCACCAAGCCTTCATCAAAAAGCATCTCTTTCTGAAAAAGATCAGCAGTCAACAGCTAGTAAATGCCTGAAGACTCCTATTTCTGTCCAGTAGAAAGAACACATTCTGTTTTCACACCCTAGTTACCTTTCACCTTCATACAGAATGACAGCGAACAAGTCAGAAGAGATATATTACAGGGCTAGAAGACTTAGGTCCTCAGCAGTCAGGTCAGCTCTTAAGGCCGTCTTACCTTCTCAGCATTGGAGCGGATGCAACGGATGAAGAATGGCTCAGCTTTACCCAGTGTCTCCAGTAATTTATTAAGTGAAGTCTGAAATGAAATATTCAGAAAAAAATTTTCTTCAGATATCAGCATTTTGAGTTGCATTTGACAGCAGTACAGCTTCTTCCTCAGAAATACGGTTCTTTCAGGTCTGACGGCTATACAAATCCTATTTCATCCAATACGGAGGGTCTCCTGTACTGCACAGCAGAACGCTGTATTTGTTTTCACCTTTGCTCAAGATAATGAAAAATGGGCTTTGCAGATGCTGTTACAATAGCACTACATCTGCATATAAGGATGAGGCTGATTGTACAGAGAACTAACACATTTCATAGCACGAGGGTAGTCTCTAAATGTGGTCTAACTTTAATCAAGTAACAAACCCTACTTGAAACAAATCCCATTTTGTTTTTCAAGCAAGATCAGGCTAGAGCAGACCAGGAAGGACTGTTCCCATGAGGTCAGGGTGCACCCAGAGGCTGTACCACAGCATCAGTCACCTACCTGGAACTGTGCACTTATGCTAGGGGGTTTCTTCTTTTTGTGTAAGTGCAAAAGGGATTTTGTAGTTCGGTCATGCAGAGTCATGCTTACTATGAGCTTCAGAGATTTGGAATCCAGCAAATTCTAGAAGAAAGTTTTCATAATCAGCAAAATGCATGTCTCTTAACTGAAGGGGAAATATTTCTGTCTGCATCAAGATGAGCAAGAATGAAACCAACAACCTAGAGCTCCACATTCAATGACATGTTACACTTCATGACTATTTCTATTTTGGACCTTAAGAGTGAAAACTTAAGCATTTTCTTAAGAGTGAAACTCTTCTATTGCCCCATCCCAAGAACGTATGGTAAACAAGGTGAATTACATAATCACTGTTTGCCTTCAATGACTTGATCAGAAATGGCTTTATGTGTTTATGGCATTTCTAGTCTAATTAAACAGATGCCAACGAACAATTGTTTCCTGTTCAGCAATTCTTATAATGGTGAACAGTTACCTATCCTTTAGATTGTAAAAAAGGAAGTTTTAGACAATAAACAATACAACTTCGCTACACTATGAAACAGTATTTTCTGAAGTGAGTTCTGTCAATCAAAATGAATGTTTACAGTGGGAAAAAAAACCCAAAAAAAAAGACATCAAGAGAAATCTAAATTTACTGAATAACTTTACCTTGGGAATGATCTGCTTTTGTTTGATACCTCTACTCTTCCTGTTAAAATATTAAAGATCATTTAAGAAAAAAATACACATGATTTTTGGTTATTTCAGCAAGCCATAAGTTGGTGCAATTTACGAGGCGAGATAAAGGATAGAAGAAAATTAGCACAATAGCATCAGGGTGTGTTCATGCACATCTCTTAAAGTGATCAATGCAAGAAATGCAAACTGCTTCGCAACAAGAATATTTATTTTTTTTTTTTAATAAACTCTGTAGGTATTGGAAGCTTTCAAAAGTGAAACATTTTCTCTGAAGTTAAAGCTATTAAAATCTGCCCTGTTGCATAGAGTACTTTTCTGCAAGTTATTTTATTTAGCTAACTGTAGAGTCATTGAACTCTCATCGTAATATCAAGTCACTATCAAAAGTACTTGATCCAGAAGTTATTGCTGCTTGCACCAGAACCCCTGTGAAAGTACTTAACTGCTCACAGAAGGACAACACATGCCCCAGCACTCCACTTACGAACTCTGATACATCTGAGATCATCCCCAGAACCTCCTGGGGCCCTACACAAGCCTCAGGCTTAGCTCTCATCCACACACAGACAGTGAACTAGAAAGGGAAGCTCTCAGAAACAAGGCTGTAGCTCACATCCTCCTAATTATACACGTCAACTCCGTGATGTAAGGCATGTTCCAACTCCATGCCGCCCAGTTTACACTTATTTATTATACAATGGACCACAGATTGATTTCCTTACACATGCATAGCTGTGTACACGTGAAGAGTCTTAACCCAGGAATTGGGTTCACAGGGCATTGGCATCCTGAATTTCAGGAAACCACTAGCTGTAACTTGTGAGAGATTTCATTGCTGAAAGTTTTGCAACATCAAGCTTGTACTACTTGGGTTTTAAGGCAAGTTTACATGAAAACTAGGTTTAACTTTCAGCTAATGCAATGAAGCAACAAAGCATTCTCTACAGCCTTTGTATTTTTTAGAAGGAATTATTTTATTCTTAATTGTCTTGTTTAGTATTTTGCAGAAGACAAACGAGGGACAAGTATCTTTTTTATGGACTAGAATAACTGCTTGGTTATTGTTGCACTTTCAAAGCAATACCTAGAGCACCAGAACTCACATGAAGTGGGAGCGGTGTTGAAGTCGACTGAGTGACCGAAGCAGCTTACAGGGATCATCACCCTGCCATGGAAGTCCTTTTATACTTGCGATGATTTGTTCATACATGTCTCTAAAATGATTCACAGCAAAACAAAGATGGCAAACAAAGATACACAGCCATGAGAGAGGCGGGGAAAAAAGAGGAGTTAAAAACTCAAGAGATCCCATCACCAGTGAGCTCCAAACAGTAGCAGGTCAATCCCAGACTACTTTTTCCTAAGTATGAATGATTCTGATGTCGTCAGCCCTTTCTACTCTGTCAGGGCCCTAAAATTTAATTACCAGGGTCTCATACTAAACTGACACTCTAATTCTATCTTTTAATGTAAATTTTTGAGCCATCAATTCAGAAAACAGAGTGAAATTTAGCAAAATGTACTTAATATGCAAGGAACCTTTTTGTTAAGCTAAGTAGCCTTTTCAGAAAGATATAAGCTTTTTATAATCAAGCAGTAAATATTTTTTTATATAGAACTGACTACTAAAATGAGGCTGCTTAAGCAGACTTACATCAGAAGAGTAAGTTAAAAACTAGCTATTACAGGAATACTTGATGAAATTTTGGTTTTCATTTCCATTTCAAACTTATTCACATGTCTAGCTTTTCAAAGTAAGCCTGGGATAGTCCCTAATTTGTGGCAGATCCCATTATTTTAAGCATGCACCATGCTTGTGAAGTGTTGTGTCTTGGCACAGAACTTACCTTCTTTACTCTCCAGAGAGGCACAAACCAAAAAAATAACAGAAGCGTAAGTATTCACTTCTGACTGTTAGATGCTATCACCATTCTGAGCTGCTCACCGAGGCAGCAACATTATTACAGAGAGCTGCTTGCTTCCCTTGCTACCTCTGAACTGTTTTGAATATCAAGATTTTGTTTTAAGATCTCACATGGAAACAGGTATGTGACACTATGACCAATTCTTTCACCCAAATTGTACCTTTAGTTCTTAGTTGCCACAGGTGACAGAAACTGTCCAGGATGAAGTAATTACGAAGCAGCACGAAGTCACTACTTTGTGTGTACTTCACTTTTACACAGAGCATGCTCAGAAGGTCAGTCTGTCTAGGAATGTGCCTCCCTGGCCTTTAAGTGCAGGCCTATTTCTACTTACTTCTTGTTTTCATAAAAAGAAATGATGTCTTCAAAAGCATTTATATCGAAATCCTCAGAACAATCAAATGAGAAATCAAGCATTGAGCAGCTGCAAAAGGAACATGCATAAAACCTAAATACTCCATAGAAAGGCAAATATGCCTATACAGAGCAATGTGTGGAGGCAGTTCTGTAGGACTTGCCCTGCCTCCTAATCATGTCAGGAGGCTGCAAAAACATCAGTGCTCCTACAGGTCCTTCAGTGACACAGACTGGCTGCAGAGGAACACACAATGCTACAAGCAACATATACAGACAGAGAACAGCCAGTTACGGGTAAATGGAACTGAGGTTGTGTCCCTAACATTTGGTAGTGCTGGGCCTTACATAAAATAAACTAGGGAATTGTTTTGATAGTATTAAAAGGGCCAAGCAAAACAAGACAGAAGAAATAAAACTTGCTATCCTTGTGGAAAGATCTAGTTGACATTTGATATATGAAAATGCGACTCAGCAATTCGGGTCTTTTCCCTGATATGGGTTAAGTATGTGTTTCTCACCGATAAACTTTTTCTACTGGTGTATTTGATCTCTGGAGTTCTCCAAGGGGAACTCTGGGTCCTTGACGTACCACTCCTGTTATGAAATAATCAACAGGTTGAATTTTGACAAAGATATGAGCATAACAGACAAAAATACCCCCACCAACTGTAACAAGCAAACTATCGCTTGGAGGTTTTGCCTAGCAATAAAGCGAAGCCACTTTGTTTCTCAAACTCCCTACAACTGGAAAGTAAATTGCAGCTGCTCAGAAAAGCTTATCAAAATTAGTATTTAATCCTGAATGCTCATTTGAAGCTTCAGGGAGGTCCAAGATGATCAAACCCAGTAATAAGATGAGCATGCATACTAGAACTAGTAATATCTTCCCCAACTTCTACAAATGGAACTTTAAATTCGGCACAGCGTGCTGGAAAGGTGCACTTATTGGAAGAGGAAGTCTGAATGATCTTAGATAAAACAGTGACAATCTCTTTAGAGTGTGAATGTTAAGCCATTTCCACAAGTCAGTTTTGCCATATACTGTTTCTGTCAACAAGCACAAACCGATAGTAGAGCATTTGCAAGCGTTTCCATTATTTCAAACCATACCTGCAGTCTTCTGAGCTCTTTGGCGTCCCGCTTCTGCAAAGACAGCCATTGCTCGAATAGCTGCCCGCAGAACTGCCCAGCGGAACACAGCTACAGGGTCCATTCCTATCAGCTCCCGAACATAAGCACTGTCACTGCTTCGTAGTAAAGCAACAATATCAGGTCTCATGTAATCCATATTTTTCTCTCTGAAATCCTGCAAAACACGAACATTGAACCACAAGCTCTCAGGAAAGCTGCATTTTGATATTAATCACTACTCAGAATAATTCATTACTCTAAATAATTCTCACTATAGTAAGCATTATCCTCAAGTCCAGGCCACCACAAAAACAACACAAAAAATCTAATGTATATCTGAGGACACATCTGACCCAGCCCGTTCCCAGCAAATTTTCTACACCCTGACAAAAAAAAAAAAACTATCAGAAAGGTAAAGAACTTTTTTTGTGTGGCCATCAGATCTAGCACCTACTTTTATCTGGTATTTAACTTTGCCAGCAAAGTGTCGAATAATAAAAGCAGGCTCCATCACCGGGGTTCCAACAAAAAACTTGTTCTCCTCATGCTGCTGTTTGAATTTTGCAAGTAGAGTTTGGTTGGTGGCATGGGGAAAGCTAGGAATACAAAACAAAAGGTCAGTTATTTTTCTCCAAATACAGGTATGTTTATTGAGGTGCAAGGTGACAGACTGAAGAACATCTATTGATCCTTGTGGAATATATTTTATTGACCAAGCTATCTACACTTTAATTGAGACTTACACACCTGGTTTGAGTATTAGAGGTGGGCTAAATTTCTGGACCAAAACCAGAGCTCCACAGAGCAGAATATTCTGAGGTTTTAAGTGTATGTCAACGCTTCCTCCCACTTCAGCAGTGAAGTTTAATTAGCAGCATATTAACAATTTACCACGTTTGCTACTTAATGTTCCAAAGACTTACATACATGCATTTTACTTTAATTATAATTCCATGGTAAAACACGAAAGTGAAAAAGTGAAAGTTTTTAAGACTGCTTAAGCCAAAG